CGTGTCAAGTGCCTTTGTCGGTGGGAAGCGCGGTCTCTCGGGAGGAGCGGCAGCGCCTGCTTCTCGTCGGGACGCGTTTTGCTGAGGGACAGGCCTCGCGCTGCTCTTCCGGCTCGTGGGGAGGACTCGCTGAGGACGGACCCGGGAGAGTTCCTTCCTGTGGTTTCAGTCCTCAGCGTGTCGCCCCTGAGGATGGCGAGGCGGGCGCGACTGTCACACCCGTGCTGGCAGGAGTGTGTGCCTCAGTCCCTGCTGCAGGTGGGTGACTGAATTTCAGAAAGCGGTTTTCCCGCCCCTGCCTTTTGGTTTCGTCCTCATGATGTGAAGCGGTGAATGTGGTGCCAGGAGCTCCTCCCGCCCCGAGATGTGTCCGTTCTGTTTCTTCAGCCGGAAGTCCCTTTCCTGAGACCCCCACGGGGGAACGAGGGCTGTGCTGGGCGCGAGGCTGTGGCTGATGAGAGAGGACGGGAGAGGGAGAGAGAGAAACATCCGTGATGAGACAGAATCATGGGTCGGCCGCCTCCTGCACGCCCCCCACCGGGGATCGAGTGTGCAACCCGGGCCTGTGCCCTTGACCGGAATCGAACCTGGGACCCTTCAGTCTGCAGGCCGACGCTCTATCCACTGAGCCACACCGGCCAGGGCCCTTACTTGGTGTTTTTAATAAGAATAGCTTTCTGCTAGGATGGATTCTGAGAAATAAGATCTGAATTATATTTGTTGTACGTGTTTAATGTTGCCAGTTATCAATTGTCATCAGAGGGTGACATATATGTATTTAGATAGAACACATCAAGTTCCATGAAAAATTCAGTATGTCCTATATTAACTTAAAAAAATTGAAGTTAAAAACTACCAATTAGCATGAACATAATTTCACAATTTTGGCACATCAGGCCCGTGGTAGGAGCTATAAAACGGCAGTCGGAATTTGGTGCTGCAGAAAAGTAAATGCCAGTCCATGGTTCTGTGCCACCAGATTGAATTTCTTTCTTGCTGATTCAGCTAATATTTCCTTAGGTCTTTTAGAAAACCTTTATTTCTGGGATCTCATTTTTCTTTAAAAGCAATCTGATTTTTGCTTCTTTCTACAGAATCATGAACCACATTTTCCTGACTATGGCACCTAATTTCCTTTGCTCAGGCAGCTAGTTAGTGAGGAGAGTCTCACTGTCTATGTGTATGGACCCCTTTCCAATATTCGTATCTGTTTTTCTCTATTTAAAAGTTTATCTTGAGTCCAGGCCGGTGTAGTTCAGTGGGTAGAGCGGCGGCTTGCAGATCGAAGGGCCCCAGGTTCGATTCCCGTCAAGGGCACATGCTCGAGTTGCGGGCTCGGTCCAACGTGCAGGAGGCAGCCAATCAATGATTCCCTCTCATCATTGATGTTTCTCTCTCTCTTCCTCCCCCTTCCTCTCTGAAATAAATAAGAATATATTTTAAAAAAAATTTATCTCGAGTCCAGGCCAGTTTGGGTCAGTGGTCCTCGCACCGAAGGGTCAAGGGTTCGATTCCCAGTCAAGGGCACGTACCTGAGTTGCAGGTTCAGTCCCCACCCAGTATTGGGGCTCGTGCAGGAAGCAGCCGATCGATGTATCTCTCACATCCATGTTTCTCTCTCTCTCCTCCCCTCCCTTCCATTCTCTCTGAAAACCAATGGGAAAAATATCCTCGGGTGAGGATTAACAAAAAAAATTTATCGCGATTAGGTTTTCAAATTCTCCAAGTCATTTTCTCTAGCTGTCGGTGCGGCGGCTATTTTATGGCCCGTTGTACTAGTTGCACGTATTCCCCACGTGCCAGAGGAGGAGCAGGTGGCACCTGCATTTTAAATGGGAACCAACGACTGTGGTTTGGAGGCGTGGACCGCGAAACAGCCGGCGTGCAGAGAAGTTATCAAAGTGCTCACAGCGGGAAGACGGGCAGGAGGCAGGGTTGTGTGTGTGTGTGTGTGTGGGGGGGGCGGTGCTCACAGCGGGAAGACTGGCAGGAGGCAGGGCTGAGCGTGGGGGGGGGGACACACTCCTGGTGCAGCTGCGTAGTCCCCTCCACTCCACGGTCTGGAGATGCATTCGTCGCATTTGGTACGCGCATCTTCTATTTTTCCGTCTGCGTGATTTTGTACATATGCTATTTTTCTTTCCATAAAAATGGTATTAAACTGTACATACTGTTTTGTATCTGGATATTTCATATAGAAGTATATTGTTAACATTTTCCCATTTCAATAAAGACGATTCTGCGGCTTAGTTTCTTATGGCTGCATCCTGCTCTGCCTTCTGGGTGTATCGTCAGTACCGACTGGTCACTGCTGGTTTCTGATCGCTGTGTCCCCGGTGCACAGCCCTGAGCAGAGCCCTGGGTGCAGGCGCCTGTGTGACCGGCTCCTTTCCTTTATTGTAACCGCACGCGGGGCCGGCGGTGGCTCTGGTGCTGGGACTGAGGTCCGCCTTGAGGTCATCGTGGTGAAGGGAGACCTGTATGGACAGGACCCCGACCGCCTTCCCCTGGTTCTGCCCCCAAAAGTGTAACGTCCGTCTGACGGACCCACTTTCAGTTTCTCTGAGCAGGGCCCTGCCCGATGCCCGGCTCCCCCCCTCCCCCTGCCCAGGGCCCCCTGCGCCTTCCCGCTGTCGTTGGCGCGGACTGGACCAGGGCTGGATTTGGAAAGCAAGTGGGAGCCAGGGAGGACGGCACTTACCGGGCGTGTACGCGCCAGTCCGAGCTGCTTGGTGAGCTGCTGTGAGTCTCTAGGCCCCGTCAGGCCATCTGGTCACTCAGATACGTCACTGGGTTGTGCACGACGCCTCTGTTCTCTGAGAGGTGCCTCTT